CTTTCCACATCAATGCCCATGCCTTTCAGTCAGGTATTACGGCCGGTAAGAACGCCATCATGAAGATTTTGATCACGGCCGTGGCAGACCAGGTGGACGTCATCGCGTGCGATGCTAATCAGTTCACGAACCGCAACTTCCGGGGCGATCGACATGCCGATCCAGGAACCGGAGCTGTCCTAACCATCCTTGACCAGATTCTTGTTTCTGCGAACAAGAAGCGCGAGCCGAGTAAGCGCATCACCTATAACTGGGAGGTCTCAACCCTCGCCAGTGAGCAGCTCGCTGCTTTGGAAGGTCTGGATGCCGATTGCGACTGCCTGTTGCAGATCGCCTTAAATTACGGCAAGGACATGCATACGTTGCGGTCAAGGACATCCGATATTCCGGATGATCGTGGACGTGTCGGATATGAGCAGCCTCCACGCCAAAAGGAGACTACCATTAAGGTCAACGAACTCCTTAAGCACTTGAATCACCTTGATCTGTGTCTGAAGAGCAGCGATTTGGGTTACCACCACCCATTTCAGTGCAATTTTTCACTTGCCAGCCGACACAAGATCAGAGTTCGTGGCCAGCAATCCGCCGAGAAACGTGGCGAGAAGAATGCCGAGCGGCTTGAGCGTTTGAAAGAACAATCTCGGCAGAAGAAACAAGCTCGCCAAGCTGGCTGGCACCAGCCCTGGTCCTCGGGAGCGTCAAGCTCATGGTGGTATACCGGTTCATCTTCGTCATCTTGGAATCCCGGTTACCGAGGCTACAGGGACTGGTAGGTAGTCTCTGCTCTAGGAAGCCGATATACCGGCTAGAGCACAGCCGAGGCAGTAGTCCTGAAAAGCCGATATTCCGGCCGACTACAGGTAATTGCCACAAAGCTAAATGCAGTTTAAATGACCCAGATATATCTAAACTAAAGGCCTTATAGATTTGACTTCAACTTGATGATTTGACTTGAGAAAGAAGATTTCCGACATTCCGGAACGTTCGATGCAACAAGTATGCCTTTCGTAGATTTGTAGAGATTTTCTGACGCAACCTAGATGAGCCAGAATGGCATCTACGGTAGAGTTCTGCGAAGTCAGAACTTTTCGAATTCATTTGCATCCTTTTGCGAACCTTTTGTACTTTAGAGATCGTAAGCTTCGACACGAAGAAAATTTGTGTCTGTTTTGTGTTTAGTAGGGTCCTAGGTCCCCCCTAGGCGTGTCTACGCTATACTTGTGTAGCACCTGTTCTTGTACATACACTAGTCTGTAGATCTTCAGTCCGCTTTCGACATAATTCATTTGGCTCAAGACTTAGCAGCCCAATACTGCATTCGCTGCCATAGAAAAGGTGTGCTTCGCCGCAGCTCGCACACCGACCGCATACGTTTGACTGCTTGGTGTTTCGATCAGGTCCAGTTTAGCCAACTGCCACTTCTGGGGGAACTTGCCCCTCACCCCTCCATCTCTCCTCTTCCTCTCTTCCCTTCGCCCTCTACGTCTCGTCCCCTCCCATCTTCTCCTCCTCACCTCTTCCCCCCCCCTCTCCCCTACCCCTTCTCATCTCTGCCTTTGCTCCTCGTCTCCTCCGCACCCTTGCTCCCCCATTCTCGTACCCGAAAGCGGGGTCCACCCTCTCCGCCTTCTTCCGCCTCTCCTTCCTCCCTCCCCGCCTCTCCACGCCCCCACTCTGGTACTTCATGGGAAGATGATTGGAGCGCCAAAGATGATGACCTCCTTCTCAGTCTCAAATGCAATGAACGACTTCGACCCAGTTGGCGCTATGTTGCCAGCAAAATGCAGCGCCCTCAGTCCCAGATCCGCGCTCGTTGGGCTGAACTTCTTGAACTACGACGACTTGCTACCTCATGATGCTCCTCCATACCCTCACGGTCGTCAGTTCACGGACTCAACTTTTCTCTTTACGTTGTCGGATAAAAGACATCGCCGACACTTTTCCGAGCTTGTATGCGCTTCGTTTTCCTGAGATGTTCTTGCACTTCCGGATCCACCCTAACATTTCGTTTCGTTATCTAGTTTCTTGGCTCAAACTTCGGTTTCACAGCCCTCCACTCGATCTTTTTTTTGACGAGCTCCATGCCTACGTCATCCAGTACATGCATTCAACGACCTCGTCCTTCCGTGGCCTCTCATCTTCGGGACCCTGATGAACCTGTCCTCATTTCTACCCATTTCCCGAAGAAAGCTCGTCCGGCACAGCCTCCTATTTCACTGCGGACAACGTTGACCTCTCCGTACAGTTCGACTCCCCCCACAACCTCTTCACGCGCGACCACGCTGACCTCGAGCACTTCTTCCTCGGCTTTACCCCGTCCTGTGGTGGGATTTCTCGTCAAATTCAACGGAGAGGAGGTACCATTTCTCATTCCCCGCCCATCGATGCCTGTTCGACTACCTGAGGCTAAGCCTTAATTCAGTAATTCATCTTCTGGTTTCATCTTACCACCTCCGCTTCCCGTTTGGAAAACGACCATGGCCGCACTGAATTTCGACTTGTTTCCTTCCCTCAATCAATTTGTACCTTTTTCACTTTCTCTTTCTTCCTCTTCCCTCCGCAGCCTTTCGGTTCAGACACACGATCTTCGTTTCCTTGTTGCGATTCCCTTCCGCTCGACATGGAAAACACCAACACCCCGAACGATGACGCTCATGACCCTTCGGATTGTTCTCCTCCGGCTCAAGTGCCTACTGATGACTGTCCTTTGACTCCAGAACAAATGGCAATCTCCAGCTTGATCGCCCTACCGCTGGGACCTGATGGTCGCCCTACCGTGGTCAATTTGGTCCCCGGGTCCACCACCTGGATCGATACGCATGCATTGGATCCCGCCCTACTCCATACAACGAGGATTACACTGACTACGCTCAGCGGATCCACAACCAGGCTCATGGATCCTTTCCTGTTGCCAAACCCTATGAGGAATGGGCACGCCGCCAATGTGGTCCTTCTCGTCACTGGTTCCATCGCTCCTGGTTCCACCACCAGACCCTTCGCTGGAACCACGACGACATCGAATACCACAAATCAGCTTCAGGCTATTTCCTTGATGCATGTTCACCCAGCCTCAGGCCTGTGAGAACTATGAATACGCACTTCGTCTTGAGGAGGAACGTTTGGCCGCTGAAAACAACCCGGTCATGTCCGATACCACTACGACAGCCCTCCCAGAGGACGGAAACGTCAGGCTGTCGACAATTTAGAACATCTCAATGTACAGTACCAACTGGAGGCTCTCCTGCAGAACTTCTCCCAGATGGACGTCTCTCAGACCCCAATGCTCAGGGGCCTCCCAGCTCCGGAACAACATCAACTTATTGACGGGGTCGTACACACCCTCACTACGTATCAGGACGAACTCCAGCAAGCACTCCGCCAAGATGATCCCGCTCCTGCTCCTGACCGTTCTTCTCGATCGACCCGGTCGCCAGTGGTACAGGACTTCCCCTACCTGATTCGGGATCTATGTCGCTGAATTCTTCCTCCACAGATTCCCAGCACACCTTGGCTCCTCCTTTCCCACCTTCTGATGGAACCCACGATTGACCATCACTTGGACGCCACCAAGATCCTTAGGTTGAGGCCGTACGAGCTTCCCTTGTACATTCGGACTCGCTCCCAGTCGAAAACAGCTCGCTGCACTCCAGATCTTTCGCCTACTAACTGCTCGGTTTTTCTTTTTTACACGACCCGATTTTCATCTCATTTTCCCACCCTTTCTTTCCGCAGCCGTTGGCTCCTCACGGATATATACTCCTCACTCGTATCCTCCTCCTTCCGCGATGATTTCTTCCCCCAGACTTCGAGTACCTGAACCTTTGACCCAACTGATACCCACTACGTGGCGTGATGTTCGTCAACCCTTTGAATCCTTGGATCTAGAACCCAATCTCTCCACCGTTCGGTTTGAACTCGACATCAGCTTGCTCGTCTATCAGCCCCTCAACTATATCACCGTGACCTTGGACACCCTCCAGCTTGAAACCAAGGAATATACCGTCGACGATCTCCAAGATGTGATTTACTCCCGTTTGGGACAACAACGCACTACATTTTGGATGGCTCTCCCCTCTACCGGAGACTCCCGTGTTTGGGAGGTCCCACACACCTGCACACTTGAAGACCTCGTGCTCTACTACGTCAATTCCCGCCGGATTCGCCCTGTGGGGATCGCAAATGAATATCCTCGCGAATCTACTCCTTTCCCATATCAACCTCTTCACACTGTTGCTTCCCGCTTACACGATGATGCTATATGTCAACTCCGACTTCCTCTGACAGCCTATCAAAATTACCGCGAACTTCGTCAGCTAGTCTCACCCAACCTTCGGCGCGGAGCTTTAAAACCTTGCCTCCCCTCGGGGAGGCGTGTGTGTGTGCCCCTTGTAGTCACAGGGATTCTTTTGAATTGTTTTACTCAGCAGGGGGACCATCCATGTGTTGTGAGCGATGGTCCAACGAAGCGGCCACAACACATGCGGATATCTGGCCTGATCAGCCAGACGTACCTGCTTTCCTCGAACTTTTGAACTTTTGAACTTTAGTAAAGGGCTAGAGAGTTCCGCAGACATGCACGCTACGACGTCACCCGTCGGTCCGCTTTCGCCTTGAGCTTTTGGCCCTCTTTCCTCTTGAAGACCTCCAGGTTCCAGTGGTTCGTACTTGTATCCTTAGGAAATGGAACCCTAGGCCGGCGTGTGGCACCGCTTTCAATTCCGTATGCATATCCATAAGTGTGTGTATCTATGTCTGTGTGTGTATCAGTCTCTGTCTGTATGTCTTTCTATGGTGTGGGCGCAAATGATGATGTTTCCGTATGTCTTTCAAGGATCTCATCAACAGCATTGCATGTTTGCAAAGCAATACAGTAAATATCTTTAGGGAGCTGATACCGAAGTGTGCTGAGGGACAACCAATCATTTACACATATTCACAACAAGACGATCAATGTAACATGGTGCAACAATATGTAACATCTTCAGGCATCCAAGGCAGGCCTGTGTCGGCACCGACTGAAAGCCAGCATAGAGACACTCCCACGCCGCAGCCGGCATCGTCCGGAAATCACCCGCAAAATCCTGCGCTGGTGGCCCGGCACATGAGGGCTGGGTGGGGCTGCTACAAATGCTAAATGGAGCTGTATGCAACCTGCCTGAACATGACCGAGGGTCGAGTCTAGGCGTGTATCTCTTAAATCCACCGGTTTTGGGGGGCTTGGTGTCTCCCTGTCGAAGGCTCTAGGGATAGGGCCATGATGCGGGTTCCAGCCAACTTCTAAGAGGCCCATCTGCTGGACAAAGCTGGTAACATATAGGCACGGTCCATCAACCCATATGGATCCATGTGGAATCCATGTGACTTTTCACTGTTTACGCGTTCCTACGATCCAAACATCACCGAACAGTCCGAGAAACGCCAAACACCCTGTCCCCCGGCGACCGGGCGACTGGTCCTTTCCGCCGCCCGCCGTGCTGTCCGATACCGCGCCGCCTTTCCGCCACTTGGGCACCGCGCCTGAGCCGCGGGGCGGACTGGAACGGCGACGGCTTAAGACCCTCTGCAAACATGGTCCAACATTTTGTTCGTTTTGGGCTTTCGCACTTGGTTCCTAAATGCTCTTAATTAATTCGTCATGCGTTGATGAGTTGAGCACTGCTGGGTGCGTCAAATGGTGAGTGCCTGACGCCGCTTCCAAATCCAAATCCCCAACCCAACAAAGCCTTTCCCTAGCACAATCAATGTTATGTTTCATGTCAACGTCGTTAGTCAGTCCCCCCGGACACATCTCTTGCCGAGATGCTGGAAGGGTCTGCGGTTTTGTCCGCATCCGCCAGAGTCTTGAACTGCGCCGCGATCCTCTTCCGCGCTGCCGCCTGGGCTTGCTTCGCCTGCTCATCTGCTGGTCTTGCTTTTGGCTGCGGCTTGGGAGCTGGGGCTGGTGTTGCAGGATGCTTGGAAGAGATCACCTCCGAGCTTCCGCGTGTTGGCACGGCAGTGGCCTGCTGTAGAGTCCTCTCCAAAGAACCATCTGCAGCTGCCTGTCCAGAAAAAGGCTCTATTTTTATGGTTGAAAAGGCGTGTATATATATATATATGACTCGCTGCATCTTTTTCATTCCATGGCCAGCATTGCTGGCCATTCGATCAACGATATTCGCTATTTCAATCTCGTGCCTCGCTAATATGACTCGCTGCATCTTTTTCATTCCATGGCCAGCATTGCTCTGACATTGAATGGCTTAGCCATTCACAACTTGAAGCCAGCTCAACGACCCAACCTCAACGCAATGCCGACTAGAAAAGGGACAACAGAGGGAAAGGCGCCGACACACAAGTGCGTCGAGTACCATTTCCCTACGTTACCCTGATTAGGTAGGGAGTAGAACGCGGCGGGGGGGGTCGGGAGACCTGCCTCAAGGGGGGGGGGGGGGGAGGAAGAGGAGGGAGGAAAAAAGCCGTTTTTAAGCCCGGCGGCTGGCAAATTCGTTTTATAGCCCGACGGCTGTATGAGCAGTGAATTCAGGGTAGAGAAAGATCGATGAGGAAGTCAATGAAAAACGATGATTCAGTGGCTCAATTTCCGGTATGTAAACGGGGCCTCCTTGCGGAGGATCACGCCCAGCACCCACGTGGGACGGCTGAGCGGCTCACACTTCGACATTGGTTTTCAGTTAGTTCAATTTCCAGGAAAAATGGTGATGGAACGGAAAGGTGGCGAAGTCCAGGAAAAAGTACTATTCAACATTGTTTGCATGTGGCTGCAGAAAAACGCGCGGCTGCTGAATGCGGCTGTCGAAAACGTGTCTGAAGAACGAAGGTTTCGGGGAGGTATCATGGAACCACCATGGAAGCAAACGAGAGAGATTGGAACAGCGTGGGCAAAAGTTCAAACCTGTTGCAGGTACGTGAACCTGGCGTCCCAGGCTCATATCCTCTCCAAACATAGGTGTAGAAAAAAGAAAAGTGAATACTTAGCCCTTGACTGGGGTAGGGAAACGACCTGAGAGAAAGCGCAACAAACGACGTAAAGCGCAAGAACGAAAAAGGGGGGGCAGGGAGGGGGTGTATGTCCATGTGTGTGTGTGTACGTGTGTGTGTTTGAATACCTAGCCCTCTAGGATTACTGATTACTTAGCCGAGACTAATTACAGTGCAGCCTGGGACGCCAGGTTCACGTACCTGCAACAGGTTTGAACTTTTGCCCACGCTGTTCCAATCTCTCTCGTTTGCTTCCATGGTGGTTCCATGATACCTCCTCGAAACCTTCGTTCTTCAGACACGTTTTCGACAGCCGCATTCAGCAGCCGCGCGTTTTTCTTCAGCCACATGCAAACAATGTTGAACAATACTTTTTCCAGGACTTCGCCACCTTTCCGTTCCATCACCATTTTTCCTGGAAATTGAGCTAACTGAAAACCAATGTCGAAGTGTGTGTGAGGCATAAAAAACACTGTGTTTTACAGGGTTTTGCGCCCCTCGGCGGCCGAGAATTTCATCTTGGCGATGTCAAAAAACGTAGGTTTTTCCATGGTTTTTGATTTGCGGGAAGGAAAAATCGTCAAAAAATGTCTCGCAAGATTTTTTCAACATAAATTGCCTCACATATCCCCAACATAGGCCCAAGATAGCCAACATATCCCCAACATATGCCCAACATAGCCCCCAAGATGGCTCAACATAGGGCCAACATAGGCCAACGTGGGGCCAACATACGCCGACATAGGCCCAACATAGGCCCAACCTAGGCCAACATAGGCCAACGTAGGCCTACCATAGGCCAACATAGGCCCAACATAGGCTCAACATGGGCCCAAGATGTGCCCAACATAGACCACATGGGCCCAACTTGGCCCAACCTAGGGCCAGAATGCGCGCCAGATAGCTTAACTTTGCTCAATATAGGCCCCACCAAGGCCAACATAGGCGTGACATACGCCCCACAGACCCAAGTGGGCCGGTGCCCGGCTGTTAGGCGTAAGCCTTGAAATACAGCATTCATTTAGATCCCTCAGATCTATGTTAAGATCAGATCCTATTAACTCAGATCTCTGTTGATATGCTCAAAATCCCTGGAGTCCGACTCAGGCCACAACATCCCCAAAACAGGCGGGTCTCCCTTGTCGCACCGTCCAAACGGTGCCCTTGGCCCCCCGACATAGTCGGGGTTCACATCTGCACACTGCGCCATCTCAGAGGTGTCGCGCGGCAAGTTCTGGCACGCGAAGGTGTCGCGCGCGCGCGATGCGAAGAGGCCGAACCGCAACTGTTTCGGGCGCGGCGCAAACAGGTTTAGGCTTGCGATGTTCGATTTGGTTGGTCGCGACACCCAAATTGCTGCGTGCGGTGGTTGAACGGGTATATACTATCCTAGTAACTTCCTAAATATCTGTAAATCATTCACAAAACAGCATGCCTCCCAGTCACATGTTTGAAGATAATCCAAAGTACCAAGCCAGGGTCACTGGGTCTGGTGTTCACATGACACTCAGTCAACCGGCCACGCTTTTGCTTTCACATCCCTCTGTGTGCACGAACGACCGTGCGCGCGCACGGTGGCTCACCGAACATCGCCGCCCCGAGTGACCGTCCTGAGTAATGCTCACATTCTTGCTCACATCGTTGAGCGTCACCGCGGTGCTGTTGCCCACTTCGCGTGGCAAGCCCCTGAAAATCTCACCCCGCCAGATGGGAGGTGGAGGGTCAAACAGCTTGGTGTGCAGCGCCAAGCAGTTGCAGAGTTGGAAACCCATGTGAGGATGCCATGTCTGTTCTGCGAAAACAGTGCTTTGGTCGATCTGAGGACCGAGGCAAGGGCCTAGGCAAGGTCCCAAACACAGGGGCCAAACGACATCATCATCATCATCACCATCATCATTCTTTCTGTCTTTCTCTACGCCCTCAGGTCGATGAGGTGGCGTTGACCCCTTGGTGAACCGGGCCAGCACTTCCCCGTAGGGTCAGTTGAACGATCGCTCGAGCTGCAGCGCAAGTTGGAAACTGCTTTCCTTTGCCCTGGCTGCCTGCGCCGCTCGAAGAAACCTATTGAGCATACCAAAATTGAGCATGCGCGGACAAACATGCTCATCAATCGGCTCCTGCCGAACGTGATACGGGTGACATGAGCAAATGCGGCCGGGTTTGGCCCTCATCATGAATTGCTGCGTCATTTCCTCAGTCAGCGGCTCTGCAGCTGCAGTCCATTCCGCATGGTGCAAGCAGAGGTGGTCCAGCAGTCCAGCAAACTCGGTGGGCCAAGTAGCGGCAAACGTCAGGCCACTCCAAAAGAAAACCTACATCTAAGCTATCGATCGACGAAAGCCAAGCATCCTGCCATGGTTCGCCAGGAGAGAAGGCGTGCTTCAGGTGCTCCATCATCTGGTCTTTGGTCAAGAGCGCCAAAGAGCCGGTGGCTGAAGGAGTGGCTTCCGAGTCCACAGTCATGGCGCCTCCGTTGCGGCTATTCAGCCATAGCAAACAGCAGTTCCGCAGAGTCTTCGCCCAAATTTGTAAGAGAGTCAGCCATGGTCCATTTGACCACAAAAGCAGCGGCTCAGCAGGTGAAGGTGTGAGCAGCTGGTGAAAGATCTCTGGTAGGATTTCCCATTGACTAGCCTGCAAGGCTCCAACCTGGATGGCGCCCCATAGCAATCCTTGGACTGTTGCGTTCACGTAGCAGCAGTTTTGGGGATTGCACAACCCCCTGAGATGCATGCCATCATCTGTGATCGCATGTCCTCGAGTAAGAGTAGACGGTTCAGGTGTGAAGCCAGTGGAGTCCTCTGTAACGTGGCCTGTCGCATTCTGGCCAGCACTAGTTGCCATGCTCCGGAGTGTGTCAGTTCCTGCCAGATCGAGTGCATCTCGGTGGAGTGACGATGTCGACTGTGGTGACATAGTGAAACTTGATCAAAGTCTGGACCAAGTCGTCTTCTGGTCGAGCGCTCTGTATACTTTCCTGACTCTCGATAGCAGTTCCTCCAGCAGGACTCGAAGCACTTTGATCCGCAATGGCATGGCGCGGTCCTTGGGCTCGGTGAGGTGCCACTCTTCCGTGGCCTGCATCATCTTCATCATGATGCTCCCTGGGCCGAGGCTCAAAAAAGCATATAGTCCTGTTCCACGGCTAGTCAAAAAAAGCATATAGTCCTGTTCCACGGCTAGGCCTCTCAGAGCATCTTCGTGACGGAGTGATAGACGAGCCAAGGTCTGGATGATGCGCCGAAGATTTTCTGGTTGTTGGTTCTGCTGGTGTGATCGACGGGCTTTGCCTTTTCCCTTGCCTTTGGTTGGCGGGCGGACTCGTCCGTGGTGGACGCCAGGGACTTGAGTACTCCCCAGTTTTGTTGGACCTGATGGCGGTCCTGGTCCTCGATGTCCATGATGAAGGCGACAAAGCAAACCGGCTATCTGAAGCAAGATCGGGCGCTCATGGGCTGCAGTGAGATGCAGGTTGCAAACTGAGCATTGGTGTGAATGAGGTGTCATGTCCAACAGATATCTATAGAACAGTGCCCCTCGTGTACAATCCCGGGGATGTTGACGTCGAAGATGGAGATGCACCTCATGAGCCCCCACGGATCGACCACACAGTGCACAGCATTGACCGAGAGCAGCACACAGGTCTGGAATGCTTCAGTCGTCCAGCTCCGGATACAGGAGGTGCAGTGAAGGGCATAGAACGGTCAGATCAAGCTTCAATGCCTGAGTGAGGATGGTATCAGCATCTGAATACCGGAACTTGCGCAGATCATGATGTACAAACAAGGCCAGGTGAGAGAAAAGTGTACACGCATGAGGTCCACCAGGAGGTCTGGTACATGTGCATCCCAGCTTAGCCAAGGCTGCGTGGTTTTGAGGCCACTCTGCGTATTTGGTCAATTCAGTCCAGCGGTCCCCATGCTCGTTGCCCAAATGTCGGAACAGGGAGGTAGAACTTTGTGAAAGGTGTCCACAAATACCACATCGAAGACCGAGTCGACGAACCAGGCTTTTGTACCCAGTCAAATGACACCACTGAGTCCAGCCAAGATCAGTGGATGATGCCAGAGGAACGGTACCTGAATGAAGGTCTCACATTGATTGCCTGCAATGTGGAGCTTCAGGGCCTTCAAGGTCGTGAAGGAGGTGTCACTTAATGGCTACATTTAATTTTTCCAGGATCACGGAGAGGTTGAAAGGTGTTCTGGACCGTGGTGTGAGGGCGTTGCAGGCTCAAGTGCTGATGAAGTCCTGCTGCCGTGGCAAACTGACACCCACAGGCGGCGCATTGATATTGGGCTTGAGTTCGGTGTTCATCAGGAAGCGGAGTGTCTGATGCTTCCGGGAGAGCTTGACGGTATTGACGGTCTCCCAATGCCAGACCAAGTTGTTTCATGACTGCACAAGTGTGAGTCTTCGATTCGAAATCTTTCTTGCAAAACTCGCAAGGAGATTGGACCCTGGCCCTTGTGGTATTGGGCAAAACCTGGTTGATGAGAGAGGATGCTTCCTGGTGTTCCTGACCAGCCACAAAGTACACATCTGTGGGTGAGGAAGGTGCAAAGGTTGCCATCCTCTTTCAGCAGCTGCAGGTCTCCAGCATCATAGATATCAAGCAGCCAGCGGCCGTGCTGTTGCAAGATCAGAGGCGGAGCCTTGGTGCAGTTCATGCCGGGACGTGATGCGGTTCCCCTGCATGTAAACGATGCTTCATAGTCAGCGTGTGGGTCTGAGAGTAGCTGATCTTCACACCCAAACAGTCATGAGAGGCCTTGAGAGGTATGTGATAGGTGGAGTGTGAGCCAGCAATCTGGAGGACCTGTTGGTTCAACCGGCGACGAAGATATGGTAGTTGCACCTTCGTTTTCTGCTTGCCTTTCAGGTCAAGTAACACTGCAGATTTTGCAAGATTGACGGTCATCCCAAATTTTGACAAGGTGTCAAGTACTGTTCCCATGCATTGTAGCCCAAATTGGAACTCTGCAAGGCTTGTGAACTTAAAAACAAAGATGACCATCGTCAGCATAAAAAGTGCAGGAAGAGTGCATCCACTCGTCAGAGGTGAGCTGCGCTACCTCATTGAGAATCAGAGCCACGAATGAGGCCCAGAAGAAGGGTGCACCACGACATCCTTGTCTCACGCCTTTGAAGGTGGGTACTGTGCAGGTTTGCCCTTTGTACATGAGGATGTATTTGGTGTCAACACGCCACTGCAAAAGAACATTGGCCACATGAGATGGAACATTCAGAAGAATATGCCGGCTGTAGGGAAGTTCTGGGCATATGATCAAAAGCTTGGGCGAGATCCAAGAACAGTTGGCACCCTCCGTACAGCAAAGGTTTTTGGCCAGCCACATTCAGGTCAAGTCGGCTTGCATTGTAGCGCCACCGATCTGCCATGGACGCCACGTCCTGAACATGTTGAAAAACGCGACAGATTGCATCCCATGTACCACGTCCTGGTAGGTATGCAAATTGTGGAAAAGTTCTCAGCAATGGCAATGCATGTGGGCGAGTTGCAGTGACAAAAAAGTGATATGATACTCTTGGCAAGCGGTGTCTGAAGTGCTATTGGACGAAGGGCGCTTGGCTGATTTGGCACCTTGTTGGGTTGGTCAGGAAAACAATCCAGCCGCTGCGCCACTCTTCCGGCAGGTGCCCAATGCGGAACCAGCTGCTGCACCATCCTTCCAGCAGAGCACTGATGGGTTCTGAAAGCGCTTTCCCAACGAAACTGGGCGCAATATGGCCAGGAACAGCTTTGCGTCCTTCCAGGTGGGCCAATTCATCATACTCCAATTCATCCGCTGTCACTGGGGAATGCTCCAAAGTAAAACCAGGCAAAACAGGAGGCTCCTCATTGTAAAGTTCCTTCATATACGATTCCAAAACCGGCAATTCCTCAACAGGGGAAAGAAGTTCTCCTTGAGATCCACGCAAATGAGGCCTCTGTTGAAAGGTTTTAGGAAGGAGTCAGCTTGAAGATCATTTTGAAGTAGTGGCGAGTCCTGTTGCTAGCCCAGTGATATGTAGCATGGTTGATGATTTGTTGGACCCGGCCACGACGATGTTCGATAGCTCGTTTCCTGGTTTGTTTCCTCCATCTCGTTCGGTCGAGCACCCATTTCCACCCCTGAAAAATGTCCAGCATCATGGAGGTGCAGGAAGGACGCCAGGTGGGAGCCGTGGTTGCTTCCAATGCCCAAAGCCATTTGGCGTTCCAGCCATCCTGAGTGGGACGGAAGGTAGGACGGAAAGTCTGGCATGCATTGATCAGGGTGGAGTTGAGCTTGTCCAAATCCGGTGATAGAGACAGTTGTTCAGGGAGATCTTGTTGAAGATGTTGAACAAAATGTTGCCAATCTTCAGTGTTGTAGGTAGGAGTGTAGCAGCGTCTCCATGGAATACCACATAACAGTGGGAAGTGATGCTCGTGGAGTCCCATCATCTGCGGGAGGTTCTGCAGGTAGCACACCTGTTTAGCTTTGGGGTCACCATCTCTTTGTTGAACCAGGACAAAGTCAATCCGTGAAGCAACTTGCCGTGGTCCTTTGTAAGTTGCCCCCAACTCCAGTTTCCATGTGTTCAGGGCCATGAGGGAGAAGTCAGTCAGAAGCTGGTGCAGCACGCGTACATCTGCGCGCTTGGCGCCGCGACTTCTACCTTTCAAAGTGGCAAAGTCACTAAGACCAACGCAATGAGTTTGATGTTGAAGGCTGGTGTTCAAATCACCCCAAAAAATCCAGCCATTGCGTCTAGGTAGGGCCTTTAGGGTGTTACGCATGGAGGTCCAGAATTGTGCACGGCATGGTCCACTGTCTGGGTCCGCAGGGTTCCAGGTGTGTTGATACAGGTTCAAGATGTCCAGGCTGTATGCGTGCATGTAAAGACGAAGGTGTTGTATTCGACTTTTCAGAGGGGTGGTCCATGCAATATTGTCAACCTGACAAAAACCCAAGCGGACCATCGTCAGCAAACCACCACGATGTTTGGTGGCACCTGAGTGCAAATAGGCATAGGTCGAGTCTTGCCATTCGCCGGTGAAGTTCCAGCCTGTATCCTGGAGGCAGGCGCAGTCAACTGGCTGTTGATGTAACCATGCCCTAAACAAATCCCATTTGGCCAAGCTGAGCTGTCCAATGTTCGACGAGAAGAACGACATCCGACATTGTCGAAACTTTCCGGATGGACGTTTGTTATAGTGGCCAGGAGGTTGAGGGAGATTGGTCGTCTTGGGAAGCAGCTCTTGAGTGTGGATACCAAGCTGTGAAGCGGTCATGTATTGGCCACGATACCATGTAACTCCATGGAGAGTGGCTCTTTTCAAGGCCTTGATGTAGGCCTTCTTCCTGGGCACCTGGTTTTTGTCGTTCTTATGAAGTGCCGGAAACTGAGGAGGATCGTTGCCATCTGCCTTCGTCCAACTTTTGCAGCTGGATAAATGTTCTTTCTTGGGGACTTCACCACCTTTGATGGCTAAGGTGGAACCCTCGGGCCGCCAGCAAGTAGCTTGTGTGTTGAACGGAAAGGTGGACATGTAGGTGCAAAACCAAAGCAAGGTACTGCCAACCAAGAAACAATAGCTCCTGCTGCTCTGGGATTTGGGACCCAGAAGAGTGGTCATAAACAAAGAACCAGTTCCAGGGGATCTGATTCGTGGCCTCCTGAATCGATGTCAGGAACGTGAAGGATCGATTAGGTACGTCAACGCGTTCCCCACCTGCCACACCAAGATGCTCCAATCCAGGCAGCAGCGAGCAGCCGCCGAGACCAAGAGCACAGCAATCAGCTGCCGCAAGCCGCGGCCGCCGTTCAGCAGGAAGGTGAGCTGAGTCTGGAGCGCAGGAACAGGAGGTGGAGGATCACCACGCCATGGTGGGGAACGGCCCGTTTGAACCACTCGCGGCCCTTATCATCATCTTCATCATCACCATCATCATTATCATCATCATCATCATCCGCGTTTTTGAATCTCTTCTTCTCCGAGGATTGAAAATTTCACAATTCTGAGACCGCACTTTTGGCTATTTGCGTGTAGCTCCACTCTCACAGAACTGCTAGAGTCCAAGGGGACAAGGACCCCGGCTGGCAATCGGTGGCATCTGCGGTCAAAGCGCCACCATTGCAGACGGCTTGAACCTGGTGTGTACTAACGAAGTCTGAGGTAGACGATTGTAGAGCGTGGAAAATGAAGAGCAGTCTGGGGGAGTTGGAGCTAAAACTAGTTGAAACTAAGTACTACTACGTTACTTCGTTATTAGGTCACAGATTGGTTTCAAAAAGGCGGAGGATTGCGCCAATCAACGACGCACAAATACTTGCCCTGGAGGCTGGAGTTGCGCTAAAAGAAACTTGAAGGTTTGTGAGGCCGTTTGTCCGTCGTTTGATAGTCTTTTCCGCAAACAGAACTTGTCCAGCAAATTGCCCTAAGTGTTTGCACAAGTCTTACTGTGGTTTCTTGCAACTGGCCAGCATCACATCGGGTATCTCTTCCTCAAAGCGGTGGCGCAAGGGAACGATGAAGAAACTTCAACATAGTTCAGCTTGGATGACATCGGTCAGCAGTTCCGTCTTCAGATGTTTTTGTTTCATGAGGAAAGATGGCCTGGTAGTATTCTGCTCCTGTAACTCCTATGGTTGCGGTTTTGATCGTGATGATGTGTAATTCACTGCTATATTTGGTGCAGGAAATCCATGAACATCGCCCAATGATGAAGTTTCTCCTTCTCCCTTCCAAAGCAGCAGCTTTGCCCCATGGCGGCTGCGTGCCAAGGAGTATCAGTCTTGTCTTTCTTTTGTTGAATAACACAAAAGAGTCCCTGCTGCAGAGCTACCATTGGCCAGTATTGGATGTCCAATTGGAGAAGTGTGCAAGACATCTTTTCCACCAACCACGGCCTACGCCTACCAACAGCGCTGACTGCAGGAAGTCTGAGTCACTGCGTTTGCCCCAAAAGCGGGAACCATGAAGAACATGTTTGAGGTAGCGGCTAGATATTGTTTGCTTTTTTGAATGTTCTTGTGGCCTGCAAAAGTATTAGGAATGTTTAGGAATTTCTTGTGGCCTGCAAAGGTTTTTGGGAATGTTAGGGATGTTTAGGGGCACCTCGTTTATGTGCAAACAAGGTCTAGACCTCCGCTCACTCGAACCGGCAGTTTCCGCCAAGGCAGTATGGATTTCTTAGTGGATGACCATGACCATGTGTCCATCTTGATTCATTTAGAGACGGTTGAACCATGTTCAGACCCTGGTTCAGGGTCAGGTTAGCTGGTTCCGGAAGGATTTCTTGGAAGAAACGATATGAAACAGCCAGACCCTGGACCCTCAGTTGGATGCATCAACCGAATACAGAGTGCTCTCCCAGGGTTTGGCCACGTCAACAAAGATGAGCGGCGCAATGCCGTCCCATAGCCGCAACTCTCGCTTCACACTTTTCCACAGCGGCAACCGTGTTGGTAGTGCCTCTGGATGAAGGTGTACACCTCCCCCAACGCTGCAAGGCTTTCTCGCCGACATAGTGAGACAAAGGTGATGTGTCTCACAATGCGCTCCAGCTGCTGGCCAGTCGCGGAGCCTCGTCTTATCAGCTCTCGAACGCCTGGTCTCAATCTCCATAGCCTCTTCAAGGTAGGGGACAAGACCACACTGCTAGCTATTGACCAGCCCAGGACCGACATGTCTGACTCGTCAAACTCTATCTCGTGAACTGTGAGTCCAACCTGCCTCAGTGCTTGCACTGCTTTCCAAAATCGTTGTTCGACTTGTTGCTTGTCAGTCCCAAACACATGCAAGTTGTCAACATATTGTACGTGAAAGAAGTTTCCGGAGGGGGCCCTCTCACCATCTCTGAGCCGCTCTGCGTCTGTCAGCCCCGCTCTTGTGCAGATTCTCTCCCTGATCCTTTGGCACCACCACATTGCATGAGACCATCCCATCGGTATGACGGCCACCGTAGGATGGAGCCATTGGTCTGCCTTAACTGGTTCTCCATGCGCCTCCGAGATGCCCAAATCTCCAGCTCGAATCCTCCTCAAACCAAAGTATAGGGCCTCAACTGCAGAGGCATCTCCATGGTGTAAAAGGCGTTCTGCAAATCCGCACTGGCGGTATACAGCTGCTGATTGGGCTCCAATTCTATTCTTGCCATCGCCTCCCAGTAGCCAGTTTGATCGGCCTGGGGTCTGCAAAATGACAATTGCTTCGTCAACAGTCCAGAATCATCCGCAGCTTTCCTCCCTTCTTCTTCACAAAAAAGATGCCAACCCTCTCAACTGCAGGTTGTAAACTCACATCAACAAGCTTCAACGTAATCAACCTTTTGACGAACTCTGCATATCTGTGGGGATCACGAAATTGAGGGTCCTCATAACATTTCTCCACTCCACTGTCAAGCAGTCTCTGCTCGGCCTCTGTCGCGCTCAATGTTTGAGTGTGTGAGAAATCCTCCACCTCTTGTCGCCCGCCCGGGTCCCAAAGATGCGACAGCGGAATCGGGTTCATCTCCGCAGTCGGCAATGACCAAGTCAGGGTTGAAGGATCCTAAGGGTGATGAGGTTGGCAAGTCCTCATAACCCTCGGCGACTCGAAGCTCCTCAAGGGCCTCTGAGCCCGGAGTGGCAGGCGGCTTGCCCACCCTCCGACATGCATTCTTCACAAATTCCAGCGCCTGACACTGCGCGGCATTGGGGACCATGCGTTCTGCCCCCCAACTGTGCTGTAGGCCAGATGCTCCAAACAAAAGGTTCAGTGAGTCAATGCTATGATTCACCTCCTCCTCAAAATGTCTCCTCTGTCCAATCCTCCTTCGACATTTCCTCGGCAAACGACCTAGATGTCTCTCTGGGTGTGCCTCTCACGCATTGGCCCAACTGGCGCCGCCTGACTCCCCGGGCCATAGGAGGCAGGCGCCCCTGAGCTCAAGGGTTCTCCGACTCCTTCCGTGGAGTCTTGCCTCTTTGCCGAATTCCTCTCCGGAGGTCCGCAAACGAGGTAATGAACTTCTTGTCTGACATGAATGCGGCCAACTACATGATGTCCAACAAGCAAAAGCTGATGCTGATCATGCTTGTGGACGGGGAACATTGGCGAGCCCGCAATCAGCAAATCTTCCAGTACCGTTCCGGAGCTTGGGCAGGTGCAGGGAAGGGTTCCTCCGGACTTTGGCAAACCACTTTGAAGAGAAGCAGGGTGATCCACCGTCCTGGAGCTGGGCTTCTATTTCCACCAAGGCCATTGAGGTGTTACTGGAGCACGGCCTTGACGCCGTCCCTTTCTTCGGGCGCCAGGCCAAGGAAAACAGTGACCATTTGCGCCAGGCGGCGACAGGCAATAAAGCATGGAAGGCTATTTGGATCAGGCGTGTCTCCGATATGCTCGCAACATTTCGGTGTCAGTGGGACGCGTCCAAGGCACATTCTCTCTCCAAGCTTTTCCTCATCAAATGGAATTTGCCTTTGCCAAGGTCCAATGGAGTGCCCTTCACAGATGTCTTTCTGGACTCACATTGGCAGGAAGCTCCCAAGCATCCGTCTCAGGACTGCATATTGTGACTTTGTATAGCTGGAATGTCTGCGTTTTGCCTTCCAATGTTTCATCCGTTGAATTTGCCATTTACCTTTTGCTAGGACTGCTACATGATGGTCGACTATGAGTTCCACCTGAGCAATCTCTTGGAGAGCCACCGGATGTCGATTTGTCAGCGCATCGGAAAAAAACTTCATCTTTTCCTGGAACCCCTGTACCACAACAATGAGCCCGTGTTCCAAGTCAAACTTTGCTTCTTGCACGCTGCCTAAAGTTTGCACTTCGAAAATGATTTTCGAGATTGGCAAGGGTGGTGACGGCAAGGGCATGGAGGCTTACCTTGAAAAGGCTCTGCTGGGAAGTTCTCAATCGGCTAACTTTGGATTGCGGTGTCTTCCTTGATCGACAAGAGTTCCGTAAGAGTGCTGAATTTGCGTGGAACAAAGCCAATGTTCAAATTCAGGAGATGGGACCCACATGCTCGTTTTGTGGCTGATCTCTGGAACAAATTTGTGATCGATGAAGAAATTGATTGCCGAGTGAAATATGGATTCACTTCGAAGAGGAGGTTTGGATCGTCTACGAAAGCGCAAGAGCTTTGAAAACATCCCTGTCATTGACGAGGGCCGTCACAGATTGAAAGCTTGCGAGCAATTGAAAAAACATATCGTCTGCTTCCGAATGGGCAAAGCCCGATTCGTTGTGAATGAGGAGGGGATTTTCACGGCCTTGGTGGGAAGTGCGTTTGCGTGGCGCTGTGCCACTGGGGAGCGCGAAACATGCTGGCGTAAACGCGGCGTGTCGCTGGTGAGCGGGATCATTGCGGCGTCAAGAGGTCCCAAAAGAGTGCCCCGCAAGAGCTTCCTACAAGAGTGACCCACGAGAGTGTTTCACAAGAGTGTCCCACAAGAGTGTCCTACAAGACGGCGTGTTGCCGGTGAGAGGGATGATTGGTTGTATGCGGCGGACCTCTTCAGCGTTGTGCCGACACAGCGAGAAATGCACCAAGGTTGGCGCTCCTGAGCCACAACATTGCGCTGCCGTTTCATCTGCGCATCGACGTCTACACCCCCTCACCTCTGTACACGCACAGACATAGATACACACATAGACACACACACAGAGACCCACACAATTACTCACTTAACACGCAACTCACATTCTAACTTCACACGTGGTGAAAAATGCTTTCGGGCCACTCGTCGTCTAGTTTTGACGTCTTTGTTTCCAGGAGGAGGGGTTGAGACAAGAAGACCCTTGCTTGGAGGGGGGTGCGTGACCACGAACCTTCAGGTTTTGTTTCTAGAGTGTGGCAGGTGGGGGTTCCTATAGACAGTAGAAGTAGAAGTATACGAGGAGAGGTAGAAGTAGCAGTAGTAGTACCAGTAGTAGTCGTCGTCGTCGTAGTTGTAGTCGTAGTCGTAGTTGTAGTCGTGGTGGTGGTGGTGGTGGTAGTCGTAGAAGTAGAAGTAGAAGTAGTAGTAGTAGTAGTAGTAGTAGTAGTCAAAGGAAGTTTAGTGTGCAAAACTTCCGTGTTACGGACATTCAACAGCTGTTCAACCACCACTCATCATACACCACTCATCATACACCACTCATCAAACC